GAAACTTTTGAATTTAAAGCAACATGTTTTGTATTCTGCTTTCTAGAGAACATTCTGAGAACATCCGGCTGTCAGTAATTGACTTTAAACACATTTTGGCTATTCTACAAATAATGAACAAAGCACAGCAGGCGGCCTCTGAATGCAGAGCTACACCTAATTGTAATGTTGGTTTAAGACATTAAACACTTCTGGTGTTTTAAACTCATATTTACGTTTATATTTAACTGAATTAAATCGGTTCTGTGGAGCAGGTTGGGGTAAATGACGGTGTGAGATATTGGAGCCAGTTATTTGGCTCAGGGGGAACTTTGACTTCTTTACACAGTCGGGCCGGTTTGGATAGAATCATCCTTAGTTTCATTTTTTTACTCAGGTTATCTTGGTCTTGAATATATTTTTTTAATAACTTGAAACCTTTAAGAGTGATAAAAAAAAAAGGAAAAAACAGCAGAAATGTATGAGGGTGTAAATAATTTTTCCCATTCCAATCCTTCTAAGATATCTGCTCTATCAAAATAATTTAAACTGTTTTATTAACAAATTCATTTATTTTTAACAAATAGATTTGAATTAATCAAAACCTGGTTCTCCTCTTAAAAGTATTTCAAATATTTAAGATTAAATATTCAATAAAAAACAAAGGCTTTTTAATTTTTTTTACCAAACTCCCATCATTTATTTTTGTACCAAAATAAAATAAAAAAAGGATTTCACAGTGAAGGAAAACTCCAGTAGACAGAGGAGCAGAAATGTGTTCGACTCATTTCTCTATCCTGACGCTCTGAAAAGAGCTTCTACCCTGATGAGGACAACATTCACCCACGAGGTAAAAACAAAACTTTCACACATGATAAAAAGAAACGGCGGTGAGAGAAATCAGACAAAGTCCATCACATCAGAGCTCAGCTAACGACGATTAGCTTTAGAACAGTGACGCCACCAGAACCAACAAATCGGTTTTATTCATCGGTTGCTGAAGATGTTTTCACAAAAATTCAGAATCTGGGAAAAATATCAATATATTTCAGGGATAATAAGTGGATCAGAAAGAGCTTTTTCAGCAGAAGGGAGCAAAATAAAACCTTAAAAAAAGACAGAACTCTGATGACAGATTAACTAATGGGGTATTTTTACTTATTTAATGATTGTAGAGATTTTCATCCATTAATTTTGTTTTCAGTTAATGTTCTACTCTAGTTTTTTCCTGCATTTGGATTTAACAAGAAATTTCTCTTCTAATATTTCATTAAAAGTTCATTTAGAGAAACCAGTTCCATCAAAACAAACTTCTGAGTTTAAAATATGATCCCTGCTGCTTCCTTTAACAACCTAAATGCTTCCAAACTGTTCCCCTTATCGGAACAGATAATGGCCTGTTTTCCCCAACATGGCTCCTGAGGGTTTTTGCATAAATCCCAGAAAAAAAGCACAAGGTAAAGTGTTGAGGTCTACTTTCTAAGGCGGATTAACACGCTTCCTAATGCCTACAGCAGAGGCAGAGGAAAACAAGGCCACACCTGGACGCCTTAAGCAGGTAATTATCTAATTTCCAAAGAGCATGAAACTAAAGGGTCATGTGGCGCTAAATTAAAATATAAGCTGCATTTCCTCCCAGATTTTAAAGGAAGAAACAGAAGGTTGAGCATAAAGTAAAACTTTAAATGAATCATTTTCACTTTTAGTTTCAATGGGAATTGCAAACATTGGTCAGCAGGTGGCAGTGTTGGCTACTTTAAGTGTTGGTCAGTTAAAAAGGAAGCATCTCTGACCAGATTAGACGTTGCAGGGATTATTTATATCAGCATATCAGTTTTGAAATGTAATAATCGGATGTTTCCTCTGATTGTATTAGTACATTTTTTTTAAGTGTGGAAACATCAAAACGAGAATCCTGATGCTTCTTGGGTATATGAATGAAATAGATGAAGAATCTGGCATTTGTTTTTTTGTCTTTTATGGGTTTGTTCAAAAGAGAGAAACTAATCTGAAAAAAAGATAAACTTACTTTATTTTGAATCTACAAATCTGTTTCTAAGGGCCGATAGAAAAGGAGAAAATGAGAAGTTCCCACATCTCTGCTGCGCGTCACAAACCAAACCAATCGCCTCGGTTTATCCCGGCCGTCAGCACAAGCAGAAAATCCATTTAAACAGAAAAATCCCTTTTATAAAAAATACCCCCCTAAAAAAAACTGAGTTCATGTACAGTTCATTATCGTCGTCATGGAAACCATCAGGTCCTGTTCTTATTGACAGGAACTGGACTCCAATGGCATAAAAAACACAAGCACCTTGCTGGAAAAACAGCATCTAGATCAGCTGTTCTCACTTGTTCATGAGGTCTGCACAGACAAGCTGTTAGAGAGCGCCTCCCTGCTGGGGGGAAATAGAAACTGCACCTTGATGAGTGGAGAAACATCAACATCCCGGATCAGTTATGTTTATAGCTGTGAACAGAAACAGCTGCTCCTTGATTTCGACTGATAGTCTTTGATACTGACTTTTTGAGAGGAAAAAAAAAAATCTGTTTGTTCCAGTTCTTCTGGGTTTGGCAGAGATGGTCTGAAAACACAGCTTCAGAAGTGCAAGAAGAAAACTGATGCGTTCAGAGATTCAGTCCGAGTCTGACAGCACGATGATCTCGTCTGGGTCACACTGGGTCGCCACGTTAACCTGGAAACAAACAGATTCAGTCAGAAAATCCAGAATAAACATTAAAAATTTCACAGGAAATTTTATAAGATTTGGTCCAAATGGACCAAATGGAGTATGTGAAACCAATTAGATCAGACTTCATTTGATTGTTCTTCTGAAATATGTCTTGCCCTCTTATGTCTTTGTGGTTTTTATTACTCGAGGTGGAGCAATCCCCATTACTGTTTAATTCTGTTCATTTTTTGTTATCTTTACAATTAAGTTAGTGATATTCTGTTAAAAATAGGCAACATGGACAGAATCACTTGGACTTTCTGCTTATATCTTCAGTTATAATCTTAAATAGATGAAGCTGTAATTACTGATGTGATGGAAATCTGTCTTTCTAAATAAAAAAATAAAAAATTAATTAAAATTTCACAGGAGGATTTATTTCTCTCGTTTGTAAAACCTGGAATCATTTCCATTCCTGCTGGCTGACAGCTGATCTTTACAAACTGATCTTTTCTGCTTCTGATGAACGCAGATTTTTGGACATTTTCTCCTTTTTCTTTCTCTGACATCAGTTTAAACCCTGACATTAAAAACAGCCAACATTAAAGCTTCTTTACTCTCTACTTGCTCTCTGAGAAACTGAGGATCTTTCTACTGCGACTTGTTTACAAAGAGACGTTCACTGATCAGTTTTTTTTCTTCTAATCAGTCTATCCCCCATCAGCAGAGCTCCTCTGTAAAATGATCCGATTATGTTCATGAGCCGATTATTTGGCGATTCTCTAATTCATCGGCCTAAACAACTGAACCACTGAGGACTTAACTATTAAACTAAAAAGAGAAATCCAAAAACCCAGAAGTCC